TTAGAACGATGAAATTTCTTGATCTCAGAAATAGATAAAAATAATTATTTAAATGAAATACATTTGTATTTCGTATGCATCGAGTTAATATACATATAAATGCAGGCGTATATCGACCTCATTTAGCTAGCGAGCAGAGCACGTAGAGCTACTATCTCCCGCGTCAGATACGATTACGTATCCGAAGTGAAATTAAAGTTGCTTAGAAGAAACTGTATCGTACGGCGTTACAAAGTTTACCGAACGAGAGGTCCGGCGAACAAAGGCCTCGGCGGAATGGAAACAAGATTTCCCGCGGTACAATCGCGCCTTGACAAATTTTATCTTCCCATTGACAGCGGTTGCTCGCGAAGAATCGAGCAGGACTTCCGAAAGAGTACACGCCAGTCTCGCGGAAAGAATCCAATTGCGGTTTTCAATTTCCTCGGTGGGAAATAATAAGAGAGGCGGCCGGTACCAAGGAGATTCGCGTGTCTCAAAAGAGACGGGCCAGACGCAAAAAGAAAAATCGCCGCTCGTACGGCTTATTTCCCGAACAATCTTCAACAGACGCCGCCCCTTTTGCGTATGCTCGAAAGCTTCCTCAGGGATATTTATGGGAATACAGGGTCGCCGCGATCCGTCTCTGTTTCATCCGTTCGCATAATTAATTAAGAGAGACGCGGACATTAATCGGGCAAGGGTGCTCGAGCCACGGCGACGTCCTTTGTTGAAAAATAGCAGGCGTGTACGAGGGGTAGTTATCAATTTCCGAGCTTCTTCGCCGCTATCTGAAATCCGGTAGCCCGCGGCCGTGACAGTGACAGACGAGGCGAGGTAATCGGAATGTCGTCGCCTTTCATCGGCGTTCCCATCGACTACCGGCAGGCCCATTCATCCTGTTCACTGCTAATTTGCGGCGAACCAACAGCTCGTATCGCAAACAACCACCGGCTTTAGGTCACGGCTCCAACGTGTTCCTTTCGCAGAAAACGCCACTGGCCAATGTACACGTCCCGCGAGGCGAAATGTGAATGACGAAAACGTTCGCCGAACGACCCGGGCAATTCTCCTTTTATAGAATTCTATATCGGTTTTCTATTCCAGGCGAACCGTATGAAAAATTCGGGCCATCTTTTTTAAGTCACCACGTCACGTCTTTTTCTTTAGAACTCTCTTCTACTTATAAGTTTGTTCATCATCTAGCCGCGCTCTAGGCTAGTCCGATATTGGAAGCTCAAGGAGAATATCTCTCAATCAGAAGTTTGACCACTACTCTTTTCATCGAATAGAGCGCTATTCGTTCTCGTGAAACGCGAGTGTCCTCGGCACGTTTTCTTCTCGGTGAAAACAAAGTACGCTGCCCGGCTCTCTGTGAAACGAGGTGGGAAGAGCACTCGCGGAAGGTAATGGCGGTAATCCCGACCGGGAGAAACAAAAATCCTACGGAATCGACTAACTAACAGAGAACGGGGCAGAGTATCGGCAATGTTGCGGTACTCCGAACTGCTCCCGCTCGTTTCTTTGCCCCCCCTCAGCTTTGTTTCGTTCGTCGTCCGGCGGTTAATCCATTTATCGGCGAATAACTCGGCTCGCTCTCTCTTTCTTCCCGCTAGTACTTCTCGGAACGTCTGCACGAAAAAAGGGAGAGATAAGTAGCCGGGAGCGAGGTTCGACCGACTGGCTCTGTTAGTGGTTCCCTCGGAGGGAACCATCCCCTTAACGGCGCCGCTTTATCATTCGGTGCTTAAATGGAGAGCGAACGGGTTTTCTCCGGGGATAGAGCGCGCGCAACACCGGATTGTTTCCTTCGGGAACTCGTTCCGAGCGAGAGCTACTGCGCGCAAGTGGATGGAACCACTGACATTCTGTTTTCTTATTCCTATTCCTATTTGTTCGTTTCTTCACATTTATTCGTATTTTTATTTACTCGTTCCGAGTCATAAATCTTAACATGCCGTTCGTACTCCTTATTCTAGTCTCCATGCTACCAGTCATCGAAATCAAAATGCAGAAATAAAAAAAAACATATTAGGTACCGCGGAAAGTTCGTGTCGATTTTTCCTTAAAAATGCAACAAAAAACTTTTGTTCAAAGGAGTTTATTTAATCTATTAGGTATTGACCATCTTGATCGATGATCTTTTGCCATCTTTCTGACAACTGCATAATCCCGCTAGTGTAGAAGCTTCGGGTCTTATGAGCGAAAAATTCATCCAAGCAACATCCTTTCAAGTCGCGTTTGACGACAGTTTGGGCACTCTCACCGGGTTTGTACCAAGACCTTTTACGTTTAATATTGTTGTACACAACCCACTTTTCGTCCCCAGTCACCAAACGTTTCAAAAAATACTCTGATTTGTTCCATCTCAGAAGCGATTCACAAACGTCTACTCGGTTCATCAATGGGCACCCAAATATCGAGCTTTTTTGTGTATCCTATTGTTCTTAAATGCACTCTCACTTGTGTAGCACTGATATTCATTCTCTTTGCGATTTCCTCTGCCGTCAAATGTCGATCATTTTCAATTAGCGCTTTGATTACATCGTCGTCGATCTTGGATGGCCGCCCGGAGCGAGGTGCATCTTCAAGCTCAAAAAATTTCCAGAACGGAAGCGAGCAAACCATTTCCGGCATACTGATTCACTTAAAGAATTGTCTCCGTATATAGCACATATCTCACGTTTGGCTTCCGCCGCCATTAATCCTTTTTTGTATAAAAAAAGTAAAATATGCCGAAAGTGCACTTTATTTTCTTCCATTTTGAAACACGAATTACGTCAATAAAACACGTTCAATTTTAATGTAATATGCTTCTTAATTTCAAGGAATATCACACCTATCCAAACAATGTTGAAGTTGGCAACAATTGCAACGCATCGTACTTCTATTGTTTGTTAAGTGACATCTTTTGGAAAAACGACACGAACTTTCCGCGGTACCTAATACTTTGTCCTTCTGGCGTTCATCCTCAAACATTTCTGGTTGCACCATATAAATATTATCCTTCAATTTTCCTTGAACGTATGCAGTAACTACATCCATCTGATGTAAATGCATTTCCATCTCTACACAGCACGCCAGGAACATTCTAACTGTGTCGTACCTGGCGACTGGAGCGAACACTTCTTGATAGTCAATTCCCTTAGTCTGTTGATTTCCATGGGCTACCAACCTGGCTTTATGTCTACATATGG